CAATTCACACAAGTATATTGTACGTCATTTCTTGGGTTCTGGGGGTAGAGTATTTAGTTTAGACTGGTCCAGGCAATTCACACAAGTATATTGTATGTCATTTCTTGGGTTCTGGGGGTAGAGTATTTAGTTTAGACTGGTCCAGGCAATTCACACAAGTGTGTTGTACGTCATTTCCTGGGTTCTGGGGGTAGAGTATTTAGTTTAGACTGGTCCAGGCAATTCACACAAGTGTGTTGTACATCATTTCCTGAATTCTGGGGATAGAGCAGTATTTCCCTTCTTTTCTCTTTTGTATAACCCCCTCCCCAGCACTCCCATTTCAATTTCCTGTGTAATTTCATCTCCCATCAGAGACCCTAGAAATCTGCCATTGTGTGTCAAGTAGGGGCTAAATGCATCATTGTTGATTTTTATTGATGTAAACTAACTTTAACCTGTTTTGCCTTTCTTTTTAGAGATACTGGGATTTTTACCACTCTCTGTTCACTGTGTGCTGTAACTCTCCAAGGACTCTCATGCATTTATCGAGATGTGCCATTAGAAGAGCGTTACACAGCAGATGCCACAGAGCAATTCCTTTGCTTTCTCTCCCATTGTCATTGAAAAAGTACTTGCTTTTAGAGCCAGAGGGAATCATTTATTAAGCCTTATGAGACAGCAGTTCCCAATCCTAGATATTTAAGTGAACTCGCTGGGTAGACACAGTTTGCATAAATAAAATGGTACTTGGGTTGATTATAACACTTCAGGGATTTCAAAACACTTTACAAACACCATGTCATTAATCCTAGGGTATCATGGTGAGTGGAAACAAACAAGGAGTGAAGTTAAGGAATTTTCAAAGACAAGAGTGTACCCAGAAGGAACTGTGGTCTAAGAGTGATAACTAATACATACCTAGATAGTGTTCTTTAGGTACCTGATATATTTTTGTAATCGTTTCATATATTATCTCATTGGAAATGGGACCCAGGTTTTCTGACAACCAATCTCATTCTATACCTTCTCAGCAGTACGTTTACATTACCATTCATTTAGCAACAGAGCAGGCTTTGTGATTACCCTCAAACTTGGTGTCTTCCCTGTCCCTGCTCCTGCCCTGCCATTACCACTTAGCTGTAATTACTGTCCTCACTAATTTTGCAAACTCCAATTCCCTAAACCATACCCCTCAACCTATTTGACTGAAGAAAGCACGTTAGCATAGTCAAAGCAAAGAGATCATTGAGTCTAATTAGAAATGAAAAAGGAAGACCAGTCCACGTAATAGTCAAGAGTAGACATTTTAACATACACATTGAGCCAGAGACCGGAGGTGCAAGTGGGTGGCATGTGACTCCTGCCCTCCAGGGTCTTCCCACTCAGCACAGGATCCGGACACACAGGCGGGAGACTGCAATCTAGAGTACCGGGGCCAGAGTACAGGTGCCAACTCATGCATAGTGCTTGCCTTTCAAAGCTGTGTTTCTGACATGAAATGCATTTTTTTTTTCTTTTCAGCGTGAAGATGAAGAGTGAAGGGATTGGGTAAAGGAAAATGATCTCCTATTTTTGTTAGGATAAATGTACTTAAGGTTCTCTGAACATCTAGACATTGTTTCACTTCAGTACCCTTTCTGTTTACTGCTGTCCCAGACTCCCTGAGAAAAATATTACACACTTAGAGGCTCCCATGAATATACCAAGGAAGGTTAGGAAAATGGGCAAAACAAAGTGTGCGAAGCTGATTAGTTTGGTCTTTCTATGGAACAGACCCACGTTTCAGAGTGTTTTAGCTAAAAGATAAGGGACACTTTGCTAGTGATGGTTGGCTACAGAAAATAAACAGAAAGACTCTTTAAAAACATGCCAGTTGGAGGAACTTGGAAAGATAAGTGTATTAATCAGGCTCGCTAGTTAGTGGCTTAGAGAGAGAGAAATATAGGTGATTAACTTTTAGGCTTCATGGTTTATAAGGCCAAACTTGCTTCATTTTTTAATTTTTTAATTTTTTTGTTCTTGCTGATCACTGTTAGCCTAGCGACCTCTTAGCATGGCTTTTTAGAGGTTAATGCAAAAATAATTAAGTGCAAACACATCACTATTTGCCAGTTGCAAGCGGGTTTCTTTGTTTGTGTTGTTCTCCACCATACTTAACTTTGGATGCTTGAGTAGAGATGATGCTTAAATATTCCACTAGGCTGCTGCCTAGACTGTGCTTCTAAACGGGGATGTTCTTACTCCTAGGGCCATATAGGAAACATCATAGGTGGATACAATAATCTTTTTGTAGTATTGCTTTTACTCTGATGTTTTTTGGGGGAAATACTTCATGCTAAAATAGATCTCTATCATGGAACAGAATGCTGAATTTGTATGATTATTCATGTGAAGCTCCATCCTTAAAAACAACGGTTTGCTCTGTAGCTAGTGGTAGGAGAACACAGCCTGGAACCCTCGGAGGGGGCTTCCTGCCTCACACCTTCGGGAATGTGCAGGCGGAAAAGTTTGTAAGGCCTTGACTTGGGGCAAGTACAGCCGACGCTGAGAACAAAGAGAGGTGATGTTCTTCGCGCAGGGAAGTAAAAACTTTTCTCAGCCGGCTTTCTTGTCCTTAAACAGGTGTGTTAACCTAGCATGAGATCCATGGCTACTTGTTTTGAGCTGTGTATTTGTGGATTTAAAGTGATTTTTCCTCCGCTTTCAACTTGTATTTAGCGAACTTCAATAAAGCTCTTCTGCTGCCTTTCATCTTCGTGAGTCACGTATTTTTTTCCTAACCCGACTTTGACTTTTGAGCAGGAACACTGAAGAACTCTCCACGTCTCATTGCTTTCTCCAACATTTAGAAAGAAACAGAGAATGAGAAATTGTGTCCGTCAGGAAATAATGTTCTCAAAAGAATGTAAAGGGGAAATGGGAAACACGGGTACAATCAGGCAATTTCTATAGGAACAGAAGCGTTTTAATGATAATAGAGAAATTGTACCGAATCATTCACTTCCACATCTCGCTCTGTCTGTCATCCTGCGGTTTTTCATTTCCCTTCATTCTCACTGTCCCCTAAACCGTAGGCAAAGCCACAGAGGAAATTGTATCCTCATGATGGCTTTGTTACTTTCTGGGAGGACTTTCTGTAAATAGCCATCTACTGTCCTGAAGAAAAAGCAATTTCTCTTCTGTAAGTTACGTGAGAGGAACAATCTTTGATAAGAGGGAAAGACCACCCATCTACTTTTCTCTCCATCTTCGGAACCAGACACTCTCGTGTCCTATTTTTTAATCAGTGAGTGTTACATCTTTACTTTGTCCTTTCATTCTAAACTCAGTGGGTTCTGATAAAAACACAGTAGTGGAATGATGATTGCAGGGATCAGAAAAGTAACAAACCATTTGTAGTGGGTTATCAATGTTGGAAAGACAGCTGAGTCTTATATTTTTATTACTCATCTGATTGTGAAGAACGCACAAAGTTCTAAGTTGGTCTGCTTTCAAAACTTTTAAAAAGGAATCCAACTATTCACCAATTTTTCTTTTTTTTAAACACAAGCACCATAACTAGTATCTGGAAGGAATTCCTACTGGCTTTCTTTAGGAGAAGTAGAGGCATTATAGTTAGGCAGAAGTTTGGTTCTGGTGTTTTTTCCCTGGGTTCATATCTTGGCTACCCCCTTTACCCACAATTTAGAAAAAACGGTACACCTTCTCCATGCCTCAGTTTCCTCATTTGTAAAAGAGGAATGACAATGGTACCGACTTCATAGGACTTTCAGAGGATTGTTTTGAGGGTTGTAGTAAAGCACACAGAACGGACCATGGGACTCAGGAAGCATTTAATTATTATCATCTTAATCACTATAATTTAGAGAGAGCTTTCTACCAGGGCGGTCATGTATCCTTAGAGTGAAGCAATTGCTGTAGGTGACACACGGTAGCTTTCGGTTCACTTTGAGCACTACTGGGTAAGCTCCTACTATGTGCCAGGTACCTTGGTGACAGCTGGGAACCAATGGGAGAATGAGACCAATAGGTTTCTGACCTCTGGCTTTTTTGAGGTGGGGAGAAGAGATGGAAGTGACATTGGTAATTACCAGACAAGCTAATCGATTCATTTTGGACAATCTGTTTTTCTGTAAGTAGGTTTATCAGGGATATAAAAATTCCTTTTATTATTTTGTGAAAGGCTGTGAAGGGCCAGGAAAATTATCATGTGGACTGAGCTGGTGGCTCAGCTGTTTCCATCTTCCACAAGGCAAAGAGTAGGGGGAGATGCACGTTGTAGCAGAGTGTAGATTAGCAATGAGAGTTCCAGCCGTGAGGGAGAGTGGGAGAATTTCATTCATTTCTTCTTTCACTTGGAGGAATCTGGTATTAGTACACATGCAGTTCTATGTTGAATGTGGAAGAATGAACGGGGATGTTGTCGCCGAATCATTTTAAGATCTACCTTGGGTAGCTTAAGATTTTTATTTGTTTTTACTTAGAAATAGGAATAAAAAGTATACAATGTTTTTAAAAAATTAGATACTATCTAACTGAGCTATGTTTCTTCTGACAGCCTGATGTGAAACAGTTGATTAGAAATAATTTTTGATGCTATTGGACTCTAGGATCAGAAAAAAATAAAAATAAAAATAATTTTCAAAACCTGCATTTCAGTGATCACTTGCCTTATTCATGTGTTTGCCTTATTCATTGGTTATTGCCACCAATAAGAAACAATGCATTGAATACCCAGTAACATCCCCCCCAAACAGATGCCTTTTGTTTTCCTCTCCCTTTTTTTTAAGCAACTATAAGTGGTTGAGGTATGCTTAAATTTCTTTTCTTTTCTTTTCTTTTTTTAAAAATTAAATGATAGCTGTGTACATTAATGCAATACAGTGTGGTGTTTTCATATATAATTTGAAATATTTTCATCAAACTGCTTAACATAGCCTTCATGTCATTTTCTTAATTATTGTGTTAAGACGTTTATATTCTACTCTTAGAAAGATTCACTTGTACCCTTGTAAGATAAACCATAGAAGTGATCCCTCCAATCACCCTCCCTCCACCCATGCACCTCCCTCCCCTCCCATATCCCTCCCCCTCCCTATATTCTTAGGCTATAATTAGGTTATAGCTTTCATATGAAAGCTATAAATTAGTTTAATAATAGGGCTGTGTACATTGGATACCTTTTCTTCCATTCTTGTGATACTTTGCTAAGAAGAACATTTTCCAGCTCCATCCATATAAACATGAAGGAGGTAAAGCCTCCCTCTTTCTTTATGGCTGCATAGTATTCCATGGTGTACACATACCACAGTTTGTTGATCCATTCGTGGATCAATGGGCACTTGGGCTTCTTCCATGACCTGGCAATTATGAATTGGGCTGCAATAAACATTCTGATACAAATATCTTTGTTATAGGCTCAGCGCCTGTAGCTCAAGTGGCTAAGGCGCCAGCCACATACACCCAAGGTAGTGGGTTCAAATCCAGCCAGGGCCTGCCAAACAATGATGGCTGCAACCAAAAAATGGCCAGGCATTGTCGCAGGTGCTTGTGGTCCCAGCTACTTGGGAGGCTGAGGCAGGACACGCTCTTAAGTCCAGGAGTTGGAGGTTGCTATGAACTGTGATGCCACAGCACTCTACCCAGGAAGACAGTTTGAGGCTCC